TTTGAGTTTGCCTCTATTTTATGAATCTAGGAAGCACTTTAAAGTTTTACATGCAGAGAAAGCTTGCTGTGTGGCTTTCTGCAAAGTCCCTCAGCTTTAGGAATGATGTCTAATTACAGGCATTTTTTTCATTTGTGTTATCAGACTGTCTGGAAAATCGATAGAAAATTGAACACCAAAATATGGCCTAATATTTTCAAGTTACATTAAAGAACAATAAAAATACAGCGATGCCAGACAAGATCTTTTCTAGCTATTGTGAAGTTGTTTTGCCTGACATCTAAAAAGCAGATTTTCAGAAGATAAATTATATTATCTTGAAAGCCTCAGCCTCTGCCATTTGCTTTTATTTCAGTTCAAAAGAGACTTGAAGTGCCAGTGCAACTGGGTACACGAAGCTTGATGCACTATCAGTAAATAAATTTACAACCTCTTCAGATTTGGTAACCAACTACAGCTCTCGAAGAGCTGTGTATGACACCACCGTGATGACAAGTGCTTTGCAATGGAGCAGTCCCTCCAAGCTCTGACTTACCAGCCAGGTCCACTAGGAAGGCATCACCTTTTTTGCTCTACAGCAGTGTAGGGGGTGTCAAGCCCAATGGGATAATCATCATCCTACAACATCCGTTCCTCTTCGTAAAGATGAGAAACAAAGTTGCCTGGGGTTGTGGAAAGGGAGAGAGAAGTGACACTAGGAGACCCTAACAGAACAGATGATGTTTCCAGCAGCCAGAAATGTCATTAATTGCTTTCCACCAAATGCCATTTGAGAAAGTTATTGCCAGTGATGGTGTTATATTTACAGATATGAATCCGGTGCTGCACTTGCAGGGACACCTTCAATACGTGGAGTATCTGTGTTAACCTGCACTCGCTAGCAAAGGAAATCCAGCATCTTCAAAGCCTGTCACAACTGCTGAGCAGGCGCAGAGCAGCGCATGCAGCATGTGCAACACAGTCCAGAGCTGCTCAGGGCGGCACAACAGTACAGCAGTCTGACATGCCTGCCTGTTTGGTCTGGGGAAGCTGGATGGGGCTGCCTTTCAAATCCCAGTGGTTACTAGTGCATTTACTTCTTACCCTTGGCGCCCCGACAGACAGGCTGGCAAACTCCCTGCTCTGTTCAGGTGTGCACGCTTTTCCCTTAGCAAAGCAGATATTTCCTCCTGGGGCAAAGGCTGCGGGGTCTTCCCCAGCACAGCAATCACTGCCACGGGTGCACGTCCACAGCAACATGGTGTGTGTACGCAGTGTGCATGGGATGGACTATGTAATCTCAAAACCTGTTTTTTTTGAGATATCTCAGTGAAGCACGGCCTCATGATATCCCAAGCAGCCAGGGAATTCGTGCTGTGGTACAGACAGACCAGAAGAAGGGGGGAGAAGAGCTCTCCTGTAGAAATGCAGGTCCACCCCAGGTCACTCAGCCGTCCAAGGCAGAGCCCCTTTCCAGGCTCCATGCCGCAGCACAAAGCAGAGCGTGGCCAAGAGGGAAACTCTTAGGGACAGCCCAGACCCCATCGTCCCAGCTCTGCAGCATACAGAGAACATTCAGCTCCTCTCCAATTTCAGTCCTGAAGAAGTTGGGTAAAAGGTCAAACACAAAACTTGCCTCTGAAATCAGATTAATCTATATAAAGGTTTTTGACTGGCAGGAAGATTTGTTAGACTGTGATGTGATGTCATGTGCATGTCTAATAAGGGTTTTGATTGACAGACCAACAATTAATAGATGTGTCTTTGAGGATAATTAAGTCTGTTGAATGGCACTGTATTATTTGAAGAAAAAACGGGTCACCTTTTCAATTTTATCTTTCTTCTGCCACCATGATACGGCATGAGAAATAATGTTTCATTTGTGATCTGGTAACCTGTTTTCTAAGCTAGCTTTCCTTCGAGTTGGGGTATGGTGGGTTACAGGCCCTGGGCAGCCATCAGAGAGAGCACATGAATGAATTTCACCAGATACATTAAAAAAACAAAAACAAAACCCAAAAAACAACCAAAGAAACCAAAAACTTGTTCTTTTTAAATACCAACTCTCAGCCACCTGCAATCAGTTCTGTATGAGGGACAACTCCCAAGGAAGAGAACTGCAGCTGCATCCACTTATTTTGCCCTTGCAAGTAGATTCTCAGCTGATGTAAAATGACAGAGCCTATTGCACTTAGTGGCATAATTTTGCAACAGCTGAGGACATGTGCTTGAGAC